GTGGTTCCATTATATTTAGGAATCTCGGGCATGCGGAACTTCTTGGGGATCGGTTTGGGAGCTGCGCTCGGGGGGAAAGGCTTTTGTACGAACTTTTTGGAATCCAAACCCTTCAATATTGGTGGTGCCCCTGGGATCTGATCAACCCTGGAGTTATAAGTTTCTACTTTTTTTGTCGTTTGCTTCAATCCTCTTTTCTCGTGACTCTATCCGTTTTGTCAGTTCCTCGAGCATTTTTATAATTTCGGGGTTAGTCCCAGATTCTTGTTCATTTGACCTTACTATAGCTGGCCCCATTCTGTAGGTGACTTCTCGGGGTGGACCGGGCTCAGGCCTGCTCGGTGTCTTGGTTTGGCTCTGCAACTGAGCTATCGCTACCTGTTGAGCTTGCAACATTTCAAAAATCATACGCAGGCTGATCCCGTCTTCTCCAACATTTTGGGTATTTCAAAGTGCATATTGAGTTCCACCATGAATGTTGTTTTCGGGGTCAGAATGTTGGTTCGCTTCAATGGTCATATGCGAATTAACGTCAATTGAATCCACGACCCGAGTTTCAATGGGGTCAACGAGTGGCCTTTCATCCTCGGGCGTCACGTTGTTATTCTCACCTTGATGGTCAGCTTCGTTGTCGATAGGTAGGGCCATTAATTGAGAGTTTGTCATTTTTAGCCTGAAATCAAAGATACTTCCAAGAGCAAGTGTAAAATAGTGCGTTTTAAAGAGATTCGTACCAAATAACCACTATTATCCTTAGCCCCACGGTGGGCGCCAAACTGTTTACCCGAAAAACGGATAGAGTTTAATTTATACGTAGTTCTAAGGATGCGTGATATAAATTGATAAAAATTGGGAAAGATATGTAAATGAATATCGAAATTAGTTGTAAAAGAAATGAATGCAAACCGAATGAACTAGTTAGCCTAAGCCTTCAAGCTTTATCACCTTCAAATTGAGTGAAGAATGATTAGTAGAAGAAATAATATGACTAAATATCAAAAGCCAAAAAAGTATAGTATTTGCTCTCTTTTCTGTATATCTCAAAATGAATCTGTCTTCTCTACAAATGATAACAACTCTTAATATAGTGGGGGAATTTTATTTTGGATATAATTAAAAATACATAGTGGGGATCCCATGATAGATTAATTAATTAACTTTTTCTTGATTCAAGCCGTGATTTCTGCCGAGATTCTCCCCCTAATTGCGGCTATAACGACTTTTTTGTTTCTTGGCTCGATCTTGACCTTGGCCGATATCGACCCTGATTGGTTTCTGGGGCTTGAGCTCGATCTTGGCCGATCTCTATTTGTTCGACCTCGATGTCTCGAGCTCGATCTTGGCCGATCTTTATTTATTCGACCTCGATGTCTCGAGCTCGATCTTGACCGATCTCGATCTAGATTGATTTCTGGGGCTCGAGCTCGACAATCAAACTCCACATCATGGCTCGATATTACAATGACGAACCTTAGTCCATCATGTTCCAATCTCGAAGGGCAAACCCGATTTTGACCGTATACAAACTCTATAGTAAAAGCTTAATATGGAGTGTTCTAACTGTGTTGTGTAGACAAGCGTTGCCTTCCTCTTGTTTCTAAATTTCCTCTTAATTCAGTAAGTTTGTGAAAATAGATTTTTTTTTAATATTTTTTCCTTTTTCTCTTGACTACAAGATCTGGTTCGATCTTTACATTTTAAGCGATGAGTTGGTCGAGTTCCATGAACAATTGTTTGTTCTTTGGTTTTATATAATGGAATTGCATAATCCTTCATGCATCACACTACGACACATTCTTAAGTTTTAATTAACAGCAGAATCTGTATGTAATAATCTTATAAATTTGGACTAAGAAAAATTAAGTAAGGTAGTGAGAATACAAAGTCAAACTTTGGTGAAAGTGTGTATTAAACCCTACAAAAGTGTTGGGCTAAAACGTCCCAATTATAGTCTTAACATGATGTGATATTGTCCGTTTCGAGCCAAGTATGCACAATTTTTTTCAAAGGACCTCACACCATTAAGAGATCCTGACACCTTATATATATAGACTCTTCTCTTTTCAGTTAATAATGTGAGACTTTATTCGTATACAAAACAAAAGGAACTGTTAAGAAATATACAGGCTTCCTAAGAAATTATTATTTTTTTGTTTTTCACCCGATGCCGGCAAGAATCCAATTTCGGCCGAGAAGTCTCATTTTGGGGATTCGTTATTTCCTAACAAAGGTGACTCTATATTCAGATATTATATTTGAAATCTCTGATTAAATATTAAAGAATATTTATCATTCCATTGCAATTCTTATTTTTCTAATAAACTTATTTCATTGGACATGTATATGATATCGACTGTTCATTATTTTTACCATATTACAATCAATCAAAATGGTCAGTACTATTGAGGGGTAATACACACAAGCTAGCCGTGGAAAAATATTAGTGGACAACATGTTGGCGCCTTTTGAATAAAGCAATTGATTCCCTTATCATTCCACATAAAGGTGAAAGGAATATAATGAATCACTCTTGTATATTCCTCCCCTTTAATTGCATGTCCATGAGCTTTTGGCAAAACTTATAGACCAGAATTAAATCATGGCATGGCAAAACAGTGCATAATAGTACTATTTCCGTTTCAATTTATACAGTATTTTCCTCTTTTCAATAGTTAATTTGATTAATCTTTGAAGTTAAATTGAATTAAATCAATTCAATATTTTAAAAACTACATTAAAAATACTATAAGTTATAATTCTTTTTATATCAATATAATAAAAAAAATATTTTAAAATATTAATCAAAGTTTACACAATTTATATCCCGAGAAGTAAAAAGTGTTACATAAATTAAGATAGAGAAAGTAATAGGTAACTGGCTTTTACATCAATCATATATGGGTAGCAATAAGACATCTTCTTTATGCTGGAAACTACAATGAGCAATCTTCCAAACATGATAAATATTTATTCCCTTCTATGCTGTAAAGTTCAGAGAGGTATATCAAAGATCTAATAAAGTAAATAATCCACTAACGAAATGTCCATGGGAATTATTCTAATCGCATGGCGGATCCAGAATTTAAACTCTATAAGTTCAATTTTTAAGATTTTTATCATTGAACTCATTATATTTTCAAAGTTATAATGGATTCATATCTACTATTTGTTACAATTTTAGTAGATTTTTGCACATAATTTTATATTCCGCGTCGAAAGTTATGGTTTCAGTTGAAGTCGTCACCTTAATGCCACAAACGCCCTGTCCCCAATGTAATTATCTCTTAAGGGTTTGATAGTATAATCTAGAAAAATATTTTTATCCTATCAATATATATATATAAGCAGTTAAACACCACAACTAGGAAAAATTTAATGCATGAGAAGTAGACAAACCAATGAGTAGTGCCATTATTTTGGATGCATGGACTTTCCACGTACTCAAAAACCTTTTTCTCATCTCTTTTTCTTGTGAGTACTGTTATATGTTATAGTTTAATTTTGCATGAAAGCAGTGGCGGATCCAAAATTTAAATTTTATGGGTTCAACTTTTAAAGTTATGAGTTCATATCTATTTTTTTGCAATTTTAATAAATTTTTACACATAAATTTTTACTCAGTGTCAAAAGTTATGGGTTCAATTGAACCCGGTAGTAATATACTGCATCCGCCCCTGCATGAAAGTTAGTTACTCTATATATATGTAAATTGTAAGTTGTGAGCTGTCTCTATTAATTAATAACAAATTCTTGGTATATACGTAATTAAGAGAAGGCAAAGGCTTCGTTCAATATACATATCCATGCATGAAATGTATAAGAAAATCAAGGTAAATTTACTGCTCTATTTTAAATTCAGAATTTACTGTTTTAGTTATCTGTTTATTTTGTACTACTTTGTTCATAAAACTTCTTACTGGCATTTACTGCTGACTAATATGATTAATAAGAAGCTCTAGGGCTTGATAAAGTTCATTACATTAATTACCAACAAAAAAGGTTCAATACATTAAACCACCACCATTCTTCAATTTTGCATAACTTTTTGGGGAATGGTTACTTTTAGCCCACGCCAGAAATTATTTATATCTACTAATTGAAAAAGTGTATAAAATTTTGTATAATTTTTGTATATAACATACAAAGTGTATATATATATATATACAAAACATATATAAATTTTATACATTTTTCGGCTATTATTTTTACATCGGCTATACAATGTCATTTTTCCTAACTTTTTTAAGTCACTCAATTTCTTATTTGTGCATAACATTTCACGAAACTAAAGATTATGGAATTAGCTGTCTTGTTATCTAACTTTGTGCAAAAGTAGCCACTTGTAGGACTGCTGTTTAAAACTTAATTATATAACCAGCATTTGCAGTGCATTCAAAACATAATCACAACTTAAAAAGAGCAGCAAAGACTTGTTTCTTTGAACTTCAGGTCATTGTCCTCTAGTTCAGTTTTCGCAATTCAAATTTCAAGCCATTGACCTGAAGCTCAGTTTTGGCAATTCAAACTTTATATCACTATATATCCTTAAGTTCGAAATGTAATTTTGTGATAAACCATAACAACATCAATTTTCTTTACCTTAATAAACTCAAACAAATTGGTAGAGGTGTGAAATCATACAAAATAATTCCGCACTTCGAAAAGATAAAAAGAACTTGCCAAACATATTTTGCTTAATAGTTACTTATAATTTCTTGTAATAAACTTATAATAATAATAATAATAATAATTTCTTGTTATAAACTTTATAATAATAATAATAATAATAATAATAATAAATTGTGACTATATTTTGAATTGCACAGTTAAAAGTGGCTACTTGGTGTCATTTCTACAGGGACCATTGCTGAATACTAAACAGTAACCTTATTGGGCCAATCTTGAAAGTACATACCAAGACCAGTCCAATTCACAGAGTGGGCTTTTGTAGTTAAGGCCCATAATATATTTATTCCTTAATGAAATTTCTTCTATTTCCACTTTCCACTTTCCATTTCTTCAATTCTTCACTTTCCACTTTGACCTCAAAATCCAAAGCTTTTTCACATCAATGGCGTTGGAATGGGTTGTTCTGGGCTACGCTGCCGGAGCAGAAGCAATCATGCTCCTTCTCCTTACAATCCCGGGTCTTGACCCGCTCCGACAAGGCCTAATCTCTGTGACCCGAAATCTCCTCAAGCCGTTCCTCTCAATTGTACCTTTTTGCCTCTTCCTCTTAATGGATATCTACTGGAAATACGAGACCCGACCCACTTGTGAATCGCCCGAATCTTGTTCCCCATCTGAACACTTACGTCATCAGAAATCAATTATGAAGTCTCAGCGTAACGCGCTTCTCATCGCGTGTGCTATAACCTTTTACTGGTTGTTGTATGCTGTTACTGGTCTCGTTGTGAAAGTTGAGCAGCTGAATAAGCGCGTGGAGAAGTTGAAGGCTTCGGATTGATCTGGTATGATTTGATGGATCGTGTTTTTGGGTCTTTTTAGTTTCGGATCGGATGTAAGATCCATTTTTTGTTGCTGCTGCTAAATATGGAGTATTTAGTGAATTGGGTATCATTTTTTCTGCTTTAGTTTAAGTTATCGTTGAATATTTATGTTGCTAAGCTTATTACATGTTATATTACTATGCTGATTTTTGATATTCTACTGTTTAAAGGTAGTGCCTTTTATTAAATTTTGGATTTGGTTATTATTATTATTGAGCATTGGAATGGTTCAATAAAATGAATATTGAGGATTCGTATAGTCAGACATCAATGATCACGGCGTAGTAATACTCATTGTTGTTAAGTGCTGTTTGATCGTATTGTTCTTGCTTCTGTAGAATTGATATGATTGGCAGAGTGTTGAATTGGAGTTTATCTTTAGTGGTTTGTTTTGCAACTCTTAGGTTAATTTTTAACTTGCAAAGTGCTAAAATTTTTGGCTTTTATGCTGGTTTGGGGGATTTATAATCTTTAGTATCTCAGTGTGGATAAATCGGGTGCTAACTGCTAAGCAATTAGTATGGACTTTCTGTGTTGGTTGCTGCATGTGTCTTCTTTGTACCGTTGTTTACATTGTTGGAAATTTAGTAGCTGCATGTATTGAAGAAGGGCATGTAGTGTTCTATCGTGTGCTGCTTACTCTTGGATTTTCTTTAACTGAAATTGGATTGCTAACTTGTAGTTTTAAGGATGAAATTCGTGAATTGGTGATTTGTCAAACTAATTGGCCTAACAGAATAAGTATGGGAAGCAATATAGGGAAGGAGAAAGTAGTGATGTATGTTTGCCTTACAATAATTTTGTAAGCTAATAGTGCACAAAGGACTTTTTGGTGTCCTTACACCTTTTACAGTGTCTTTTTGAGTGATCAGCGTTCGAGTTTTTCGTATGTCTAAATAAGTAAAATGTGGATAAAAAGAGTGTTCAGTGATAACATATTATGAACTCGCTATGCTAGCTGATGTGCGATCCTCTTAATTATTAACATTTTGAGTATTGATAGCTGCAAACATTTCCAATTTTTCTTGTACCTTGGTGGAGTTCTTGATTATGTGTCGTGCATTGTTAGAATTTAAGAGCCCAAGGTACTCTTGAATTGTCTATGAATGAACAATAAAATCGGCTATTGAATTCAGTGGTAGACCTAGTAGAGAATGTGAAAAATAAACAAGCAACCATTTCATGTTTCTACAGAGGAATATGAATATATGATAAGTTATAAGTAGTTAAGTACTCAAGAGAGGTTTAGGTATCGTTATAGCTTTACACTGTTTTTTTGAGAGATGAGTTGGTGAGTGGACTTTTACAACTGTTTTTCCAGTCTTTGCTATTACCTATCTGTCAACAGATTTGGCCAATCTCCATATTACAAGACCCTGTTCTTTTGCTATTTCAAGGATTCTTTGGAGACGCTTGATTTGGCACTTGAGCTTGCTATTAACTTAATGTACTGAGTTTCTGTTATTCTAGGAAAAAATTGTGCTGAAAGTGATTAAATTTTAACGTTATCTATCTTGTTTTCCCATGCATCTAACTGTTACTTGTGTTAGTCCTTTCGTTTTGTATTGTCAGTCACAGAAAATTTAGCGGCCTCCTTGGTTTCTATCGCCCTTTATGCCTTTTTTGGGTGAATGCTCTTTCCAAAGCCCAGCAATGACAATTTCCTGGCATTGCTGTTTCCTGAAGGTCCACTAGGAGTCTAGGTGTAGGCGGCCATTATTCAATTGTGAATCGCAGTCAGGTGTTTATACTTGTAATATTATGAGTTATTGCTGTTAAAGTCGGTCAGTTCAGTAATTCTTGTGGAGAAGTTGAAGCTTAGGACTTTGTAATTTATCTCATAGTTAGAGCCATTTTTTGGATCTTTAGTTTTTGGACCAGTAAGTGCTGTATTGGGTTTCTCTTGAGCAGCTGTTATTCTTGATTTCTTACTCTTTGGCATCCGTGTTTTTGGAGATTGACGTGGAAAACTGGTTAAGCGTCGGTTTAATCTGCTGATTTTTCGAATCAGGCTATTTATTAGCTAGTGCTTTGTTTATGGTTTGTCTGTTAATTGCTTCTTCTTGGTGCTGCATTCGTTAGTTGTTGATTCTAAACTAGAACATCGATATCTTAACCTCTGTGCTGAAAATGATGATAGCTTTGTGCATTGCACAAATCTTTCTTATTTTTTTATGGTTGTCCAATGTTGTTTGGTTTTAGAAATACAGTAACATATTGCTGCACTGGTTTAACTTACGTGTGTTGCTTACTCTTGAATTTTGTAAATGCAACTGGATTGTCAACATGTTCTATACTGAAGTTTCTAAATGGTTGAATAAATAATGAATTGTACAAACATTTACTTGTTCATGTTTCTATAGAAGGTTATATGTTTTGGGTGATTTTGGAGGGGAATTTCACTATTTGGATTGGGGTAAGTATTTTTGACTCGGATTTGGTTGTATTTCATCATTTCATCCTAAACTTGGCACTCATAAATTAGCATGTCATCTCTCATAAATGTGGTCGAATTCGGAAAGAAAAGCTTTTAGAAAACACCTAAAAAATCTGTCTAGCAACGTTAGTATATAATCCGTCAAGCTCGCGCCAGAAATTATTTACATTCGGTAGCGAAAAAAGTGTATAATTTTTATATATAACATACAAAATGTATATATATATTTATAAAATATATTTTTCGGCTATTAATTTGTTAGCGGGCTATATAGTGTCATTTTTCTTAGATTTATAGATGAGTTTTTCCGGGTATGGGTTTACAGATATAGCCGTGATAAAGGAAAAATTATTGTTTGGAATGGTAATTAAGCAAATTGTTGAAAACAACAAATAAATGAAAAGTAGTTTTAAGTCGAGTGGCTTATATTATGACCAGTTGATCCACATATATACTCGTCTGTGTGAGTTTCCCAAAATAATCGTGCATAATTTGATTCAAATTAACGTCTAAATTATAATCATGAATTGCTAGAGTAAAGACTTGTCTCTCGAATTTGAGCTACGGAAAAAGAAACAACCATATAGATATTCAATAATGAATAAAATAATTTAATTATGATGAATCTTTGAATATTACAGAATATATGTAATGTTTCGTATAAGTGAAGCAAATTAATTTGTAATTAAAGTGTAGTTAATTGATAGAACAAAACATACTAATATCATTTTTAACAAACATTAAAGAAAAATTAAAACTGGGGGGACCTACGTAGAATAAAAGCCAATGAAACTACTGTCTGCCTAACCAATGTAAATTAAATTAAAGAAAACAAAAGAATTTGGATTTACAGACAGAAAAATCAATTCCAATCAATATGAGAAGATGAATAGTAAATGCAACTAACATGTTGTTGATGCGTTATGTCGTTCCTTAAGTCTTTATAGTATCATTTTCTGTATCTCCTTTGGGGTTCGACTCATTTGGACTAGCATAGGAAAGTTCGATTTTACGATAAAATGATTCCCACCAAAAAAAATTTCATACTCAAAATTCGAAACTAAATCTCTAATTAATAATGAAGGAGTAATTATTATTCTAGGATTTACGTGATTTTAAGTCTTTATTATCGTTTGCTACCGTCCGAAGTAGTAAAGTTCCCACAGACAAGAGAGTTTATACCTGATCTAATTGGCCGAAATCTCCCTTTATCTTTTGACTTAATTACACTTTCCTCCCTCTTTCTCTAACATTTTCAAATTTCAGATTTTCTATTTGCATTGCGGCTGCATTGTTTTGTTTTATTGCAAAATGGCAAGAAATTATTTTCTTTTTCCTTTTCGATTTACTTGTCAGTTGTATCGCTTCACTTTGCTTGTCTTAATTTGACTCGACACAAGTTTAATAGATGGAGAAAACTTTTAAAATTTATGGTCTTAAATATATCATAATATTTGTGTAACGGTAAACCTTTTGAAATTTGAGGTCTTAAATAAACATAATATTTATTTATTATAAAAGCTTATCATTAAGAAATATAAGAATATATCATTCTTTTTGAATGGTTAAATAAAACAATAATATCAAATAAATTAGAACACAAGGAGTACTTGCTAAACGAAATGTGATAGACTTAAAATATATGAAGATAGAGAAGTTATTTCCAGGATTAACAATCACTTTTGAACCAATATGTTTAACTAATAACAGAACAAAAACATAGCAAAATAATTCCAATAAGCACCCAGCTACTAGGGATTAAAAAAGTTAGTTGCTTATTTATCTTTATAGTAGACAGAGGAGTTGCTTATTTATCTTTATAGTAGACAGAGGCGGAACAACCAGAATTTTAACGTGACGGGACATTATTATTCTGCTCAATCGGTGCCTTCTAAAGACTTTCAGTATTCAGGGTGCCAAGTTACTTATATAATCATTTTCAAAGTATACATACATATTTATAAGATTTCTGTCGAGGTTTGCATGGTTTGGTAATCCCTCAACGTGATACATAGGTCCCCTATAATTGTAATATGGCCAAATTTTCATGACATTTGTGATGACATAATATCTATTATAATAAAATTTGTGGATCATGACATTTGCCGTGACATAGTATCCATTATTAGGCCAAGGATTTCTTGCTATAAATAGAGGGGTTTCTCCTCATTTGCAAACACACCAATTCAAGAGCTTTTCACTCTTGTCTTTCTTTCTCTTCATTTATTTCATTATAGAGTATTTTGTAAGAGAGTGAGTGTTGGGAAACACTTGTGTGAACCATTTCTTTGGAGTGATCTTGTGAGGTTATTCTCTTGGGGTTTTGGGATTAATTAGAGTATTTACTCTAATTTTGTACTCTTGTTGGAATAGTAAAACTGTTCCTCTCCGCTTGTGGACGTAAGTCACCTTGACCGAACCACGTTAAATTTGTGTCTTCTTTATCTTTTTTAATTGCCTTTATTATCAACTTGCATTGTCTTTGTTATTGTCATTATAACGTTGTTTGGCTAAATTCTGCACTATCCGGTAACCCGATCCTAACAAATTGGTATCAGAGCCAGATCTAACCGGGTTAGTTTAAATAGCCAAAATGACTCTAACAAAGTCTTATGTTGAGAAATTTGACCGAAGTGCAAACTTCGGAATGTGGCAATTAAAGATGAAAGCTATCCTAATTCAGGATGGCTTAGATTTGGCACTGCAAGGAAAAGGGAAAATGTCGGATAAAATGACGGACGAGGAGTTTGCCGTCATAGACAAAAAGATAAA